TGAAAGATTAGTTCACAGTGAAAGATTAGTTTGCAGAGAGTGATTTGTTCGCAGTGAGTGATTTGTGAGTGATTCGTGAGTTCAATATGAATAAATATTTAATATGACTCGGTAGTCACGAGTCACGAATCTTTCATATGACTCGGGAGTTACGACTCATATGAAAGATTCGTTCATTTTGAACGAATCACTCGCGAACGACACATCACTAAAGAACAGCGTTTTCTATGCTCTGACTGATCCGACTCAGTATGGATTGTATTTCAAGAATAGACTTTCGGTCCAGACTGAAGATGATAAGTGATGGAAGACCAACGCCGGAGCTAAAAGATTAGCTTCAAACTACGGGACAAAAGAGTCGTTCTTTTTAAATGGAGCGGTACAAACGAAAAGACTGGCTGTGTGGCTGTCCGCCATTACTGCGTCCCTTATTCTCTTATCGTGTGATAAATCTAATTGATAGACAATCTTTGATTAAAGCACCAGAATTTAAAGTTTAAAAAATAACTTAATTCTTTACTGAAGATCAAAATTAAATTTGTGCTGCACTCATCTCTATACTTTAATCTGTTTACAGTAAATGTGAATTTCTTAGACACAAGAAGGGGGCTCTGTCCATTTGTATAAAAGAAACGTTCTTTGTAGGACAAATATGTTCCTGTGTATATGTTTGTGTTGGTGTCAGTGTCATTGAAAGAGGAATGCTGATGGATCTTATTTCGTCTTATTTCAATATTCATCCAACAACATCACCTGGTAATAAACCAATGAACCATCCAGGAGAAATAAGATGCTCTTTTCGGTTCTTACAATTGTAAATCTGATTCATCAGGTTCACGTGCGGAACCTGACGCACGTGAATTTAATTAAATTTAAATTAAGTTACAATTTTAATTATATTCACTCGGGATCATATACTTATTTTTCTCATTTATGCCATTTTTCCAAAATAAAAGTAATCATGCGGCCGGAACTGTGCTGTGGTTGGACTCTGCCTCCATCTAGTGGCGCCAAATGAAAATGCATGCGATGCACTGCAATTAAACAAATTTAAGTTGTCGATGCAGCTTTATTTCTGTAAACTATTGTAACTACTTAAATGAAAAAATGGACACATGGCCTAAATTATTTATCGTTTGTTTGTTTATGTTGACTTTTCTTATGACATTCTTGTCTTTGCTCCTAGGCAGTGTCTACAGAGACAGTTAACAGTCACCTCCTCACATCCATCACTGCTGCATCAGTGGAACAAAAACCTTTTACTGACCTCGTAAATTCCTCCATCCATTGATGAATTGTGGAAACCTCCGAGCAAAAACGTGGCTGTCGGGACTGTGAAGCAGTTGGACTTCAACTTGGACTTTTAGGTAGGTGCGACGTGCAAACGGCAGCAGCATAATGTACCTATGTACCTTTAAAGTACCTACCTAAGTACTGTACTAGTACTGTTGCGTGTTAGCAGTAAATCTTTCTTGGATCCTGTTACTGTATTTTTAATCACATATGCCAGTCTTTACACGTAAGAGTGTGTATAAACTGATAACCTAGTATTAGAGAGTCGGACGTCTGTGCATGTACTGTACATTCAGTGATTAGTGACGACAGTTTAACCGATTGTTGTCCAACTCATTTGGTCCTAGTGATATCAATAAGCAACTCATTACCTGGACTGATGGTTTTAAACGGTGGCGTCGTCTAGTGTTCAAACCTGTACTTGAAATGACCTGTTAGTTCATACAGTAGTACTGTAGTTCTGTAGTAGAGCAAAGTTAACTTTGTCACCTCTGGTAGCAGATGTGTGGAGAAAAAAGAGGTTTGCACTTTTTTTTTTCTTAACTTGCCTTATGTCAAAGAGCCTGAACTAAACTTGATAATGTTAAAACTGGTTTCTTAGGTTTAGTAAGTGTTGAGTCAGCAGATGTGAAGTCTCACTTTTTTAAGCTTCGTTTATTTTTCATGTATGGCCACACGATGGCGCCGTCCATACTCGTGTCAATTAAGTGGCAACTGCGCCACTAAAACATGACGTGACAGAAGCGAAAAGACTACTTTCACAAAGACAAGTATGTAGTTTCCATACTTACAAAGCTAAGCTAAAAATAAGTCAACTGAATAATTAATAATTACTTGGATTCTGCTTTATACATATATATATACACACACATTTTCTTTTTTAAATGAATGAATTCTTAGATCAGTGTAAAAAAAATTTCGACTAATGCGCTGCAATGATGTATAGTCCAGGTAAAATGAATGAGCAAGACCCAAATGTGGAACCAACTCCAACCACATCGTCCTCATGAAGGAAATCAGAAAAGACATGAGAACGGAGGGTTCGATTGCATTTATTTTTCTTTTCTTCGTTGTCTGTAAACTGGTGTGCTTCTTTGTTTTGTTACAAAATGCTCAATAGATGTCCTTGAAAATAAGTCTGTGAATGGCAACATGTGGAGAGTTCACCTCTAGTGACATGTCCAGAGTGCTTTTAAATGATGCAAGTAGTGGTCATAGGACAAGTCGGGTAGTCAGGTGTTACACACACACAGGCCGTCTTTCACACACACCCACACACACTCCTCCTCCTGACAGGAGTCTTACACCAGGTAACACCAGGTTCAACTTTTTTCTTTTTAACAGCAGTTTCGACCTGTGGAGGTCTTCCTCACACAGAGTGGTGTGTTTTGTTTTCTTGTCATCTGTTATTTGGCAAAAAATAAAGTCTCCTTTTGTCCCCAGTTTTTGACTCGTACTTTGGTTTTTAGGAGCTATAAAATACAAACATGTATCATCAGCAGGTGTGTGAACAGCTCAACAGCTTCCAAACGTTCCAAAGAAGTCATTAATTTTCAACTTTTTTTTTTTTTTTTTTAAATGATCTGCTTTTTTGTCTAAAATAATGACCGTCTGGACTGAAGTGTGATTTTCCATCACGGCGGTCAGGACGGGAACATGCCCTTGTTCCGTTTGCGGTCGGCCATGGCTCGTCTGTTGTGGTTGGCCACGTGACTCTTGTTGGTCTCCTTCCTGCGACGGTCCACATTTGTCTCCTGGCTCTGTCCTTTTCCTTTGGGCTCACCGACAACGTTGCTGCTGCGTTCCGGTCTGAAACTGAGACAGGGAGGGGGGAAAAAGGCAAATTAGTTTATTTCCAATCTAATTCTCTGTGGTATTTTATGTCTTATATTAATTGTCTTTTAATTTTAAGATTAAAAGAACTTCTGGATAAAATGTCAAGATTATAACTGAATGGCATTTTGAAGTAACCCTTGTTGATATGTCCTTGTGTCTGTGTGTGTGTGCGTGTGCATGTTCCTGTACTGCACGACTTGTGCCAACCTTTCCTCATTCATTAATACTCAAATTCTGGGACAAGATAAAAATCATTGCAAGGACAAACGGTGTGTACAAAAATGCGAAGGACAACGGGAGGTTTAATAACAATGTCCAGAGGACATCTGGTTTTTACCCTCTTCTCTGGTGCATGGCTGCTCTCCTCGCCTCTGCTCTCTCCCTCAGCACAGCTGGATCCTGGACAAACTGGTCCCTGTTTACATTGTTCTGAAATACACAGGATTCAAAGGAAGTAAGTCACACAGAATGGCAAACACGATGGTGGTGACTGGCAGATTTCCAAAGTCAATCTTGTAACTTGTGATGTAGAATAATACTTTGGCTTTATTTCCACTGATTTTTAAAATGAAAGCAGTGACGTCCCCCTGATACATTGCATTCTACAGTAAAAGGTAACAAAAGAATAACTATTTTCTGTCAGAGTGAAACTTCCGTTACCTGTAAAGGCTCTTCTTCGTCTTCATCTTCACTCTCCTCTTCACGCTCTGCTGCGTTTCCTTTCCTCAGTACCTGAGGGATTGTGAAGGGTCTGCAGGAAACGGTGCGAAAGTGGGAAAAAAAGGCACTGAATGCAAATACGATGCTAAAATAGAATGTATACATAATGTATATGATACGTGTCAAACTCAAGGCCCAGCATTTAGTAAAGTTCATGCAGCAGAGTTTCTTAACCTGAGAAATTAAAAGTTTTTATAATCAATCAAATAATAATCAATTGCATCAGTCTGCTATGGAGTACTTACATCTATACCAGTGGTCCCTGACCTTTTTTGTTCCAAGGACTGGTCAGTACCACCTGTTACTACGGAGCAGTACCAAGGTGCTGCGCATTGATGGATCATTAAAATTTCAAAATAAAACATCTTTCAAACTCTATTCTGTTCTGTAGTAGAGTCTGAATTACTTTTAAAATATTGCCAGATTATCTTTAAATAAAGAACGATATGACTGGGTGGTGTTTTGGCCCAGAGGCAATGTCTCTGTCATTGGTGTTGAACCCCAGGGTTCACCTCCTGGGCAAGTTCGAATCTCGGTTAGGGCGGTTGGTACCTTCCAGTGGACTCACCACCTGCAGGAAGGTTTAGGGGGGTTGGTACGGTGCAGAGTGATTTGGGTGGCGACTGCTGCCCCCGCGACCCGGTAAGGGATGAAAATGGATGGATGGATGGATGGATATGACTGGACTTTCTTTAAATGAAGTAAATTAGTAAAAATGAAGTACATTTTTTCACTGCGGCCCAGTACCAAATGACCTATGGATTAGTACTGGTCTGCGGACCAGGGGTTGGGGACCCCTGATCCATACAGTCTTCCAGTTACAACCGGCCCTTCTAGGGGAACATTACTGCTGATGTGTCCCCTGGTGAAAATGAGTTTAACACCCCTGCTGTACATCATCCTGACAAAATAAAAAGTGTTTTTTGTTTTTTTTCCAATTTCCTATTTTTCTGTGGCTGCTTTTCTACAACTCACCTGCGGTTCAGTAAACTGTCTCCGTCCAGGTCGTTGGCTCCCACTTGGTTCATGTCGTAGGTGTCATCGTACTCGTCGTCGTAGTCGTCCAGGCCGTACGTGTCTGCGCTTTCTCCAGGATTGATGACAATCTCATCCACAACCGTCTCATACGCCTGGTATCGCGCTCTCTGCTCCTCTATGTGCCGCTTGTCGTTCAGCAGTTCCTCGACGTTCTCACCTTTCCTGCAGCGAAGAAGACCACAGAGTCACATGACAGTTCTAACGACTGGACCCAGTGATTTATTTAGAGGTATTTCTGTGAATTACTTAAATCTGTAAAGCATGACATTTACTCTCAATTATAAATGCACTTGGAAGATATCGTTAGCATGTTAATTTTAGGTTATGAAACTCAATTGGGAATTTTGTTCAGGTTGCTGTAATTATTTTTTAATCCAGCACATGTCACCATTGGGCTATAAGTTAACAGCGGCAGCACAGTTTGGTGAATGTGCGTCTGACTCCATCATCTCCTCATCAATACTTCAAAATCAAGGTTTTTTTTTTACCTCCTGCCCTTCCAGATACGAGACATGTCCACTTGGTCCCTTCTGAAGACGTCAAACTCATCATCATCAAACACATTGGATCTGGTGCTGAGAACGTTCGGAAGCTCCTCCTTCACTGGCCTGGAAAGATACATTATAATTTTAATGTGACACAGTAACACAGGAAGTTCAAATGACTGTCTAACACGTTAGCGCCGCCTCACCTTGGCATGGCTCGGTCCAGTTTGTCCAGGTTAGGACTTAACCTGGCCTCCAGGATGTTGTTGATGACCAGCTCTGAGTTGTAGTCGTATTCCTGCAAACATGCCAGCAGGAAGCCTTCGCCCAAGTCAGGCAACAGGTCCATGATACAGGACAGCAGGGATTCCAGCTCTGCTGTGCTGATGGGGCAGGCCGCACCCTGATAAGACAAAACAGTGTTACATCCTAGTGACCTTTGATTTGAAATGTTTTTAATTATTATTATATCAGGGATCATCAGGGATTCCTAACCACTGTAGTGTGCCATGTGTGTAATTATTGTCTTCATTTGTTCATTCAATAGTGACAGGCAGAACAATAAATACTCCACTAGCTGGCAGTAAAATGGCAAGTTAAAGAAGCTCTTCATGTGCGTTTCTTGGATTCCTGTGAGTACATCAGTGTGATGTTCAACCAAACAGGCTGAGGTTTTATACTAAGTTCACTGAGTGAAATTAAAAGCTAAGTATATTTCATTACATACTTAGTCACATTGATGGTGATGGTGTGCCGAGTGATTTTTCTAAGGTAAAAATCACAGAAATTATCGTAAAACCTACATTGTCTCCTTTCTGTGGACCATCCAACATCGCTGCCGCCATCTCAACATTCTCTCTTCTTGTTTCTTGAGCTGCCAGAGATATGGAGTTTCCCGAAGTTGCAGATGTCCCTCCCACTGCCCCCTGATCAGCTGACAACGATGAAAACGCTCTGAACTGAACCAGGCTTTGGGGTCTCCCCCGTCCCAGGCTGTCATGGGCGCTCTCAACCCCCTGGAGTATGTAGGACGTTCTGGTCTCATCACTGAAACGACCCGGCAGTTAAGTAAAAACAGTAAACAAAGAATCCATGTTGTATTTATCACCTGGCCTCCATTACAGATATTTATGTTGTGCATTTTTCTTTCTGTAAGTAGAATATGTTTTGGAACAGCTGTAGAAAAAGAATATTTTTAAAAAACTGAGGAGGATACATGACAGGAATGGCCTGATGCAGGAGGCTGATGTCATCAGTGATGGGGAACTGCTCATTATAGTCTGCCAAGAACCTGTGAGGAAAAGTGTGAGAGATTTAAACCAACCTGCTTTTATAGAATCATACATGAAAGCTGTTTGATCCACGAAATTAGCCCAAGATTTTATTTTATATACTGGTCACTCTCACCTTTTTTCGGGTAAAAAGGAAGTGAAATGTTGTAAGAGTTCTTCTGCAAATGTCTGCATGTTTTCCTTTCTGTAAAGCAGAAAAAAAATCCTGAAGTGAGTATTTATGTTAACTTTCCTTTCAATCTCAGTGGTGGATGATGGGATGCCTCACCCTTCTAGGATCGGTTGTAGGCAGGTGTGGTGCAGCAGCAGGTGAGCCGATTCCACCATCTTGCGACAGGAGTGAGACAACCTCCTCCATAAATCTTCCTGGAGTCTAACCAGAGGGTTTGAAGGTTTATTTATTACCAACACATTCACATTGGCTGAGTGGCATTAACATTTTATAGATCAAGCAGATTCTCACCCTTTATCATCAAAGTTCCTCTTCCTCACTGCCCTCTCGAGGTCGGGCACTGCGGCCTCATAGAACAAGGTCAGCCTGTCAGGAGATTGAAATCAACACATAAACATCCAGGAAAGTTTTCTTTTACAGAAAAGGAAGCCTGATGGTGAGATGTGAGTGGTGACGACGTCTACCTTCCCAGGAAACCATGTGAGAGAAAAGTCGTGCAGGCAGCAGGAAAGATGTCCATGAAGGCATGAATGGTGGTCGTGGAATCAGAGAGGTACAAGAGGATGTCAACAAAATCCTGTGACATTAAAAAAAAACAATGTTAAGTCCAACACTTTTTTTCTACTCATGTTATACATTAATTTATAGCACGTGTCAAACTCAAGGCCTGGGGGCTCAAATGCGGTCCGCCAAGACGTTTTGTGTGGTCCACGGGAGTTTAAATAGCATCTGGTTTCCATGAGTTTCTTAACGTATGACACACCAATGAATAATATTGGTAGCTTGAATAAATAGTGGGTGGCCTAGTGGTAAAGGAAGCGGACTTCGGTCCGGAAGGCCCCAGGTTCGAATCCACCAACTGCCAGGTTACCACTGAGATGCACTGAGCATGGCATCGTCCTCAAGCACTGCTCCCCGGGCGCTGACCACGGCTGCCCACTGTTCACTTTGGTGATGGGTTAAATGCAGAGGATACATTTTTAAATATAAAATAAAACATTTTTTAGACTCCATTCTGTTTGTATCAAAGTCTGAACGACCTATTAGATATGACTGGATTTTCTTGGAGGGGACAGTGGTGGCTTAGTGGTTAAGGAAGCGGACTTGGTTCTGGAAGGTTGCAGGTTGGAGTCCACCAGCTGCCAAGTTACCACTAAGGTGCTCTGAACATGGCACCGTCCTGATACGTTGCTCCCCGGGCGCTCAAAAAGCTGCCCACTGTTCACTTTAGTGATGGGTTAAAAACAGAGGTCACACTTCGCTGTGTGCAGTGACGTGTGTCACAATGACAAGGAGTTCACTTTCCTTCCTTTCCTTCTTGGAATAAAGATAATAAGTAAAATCAAATACATTTTTTTCCACCTTGTACCACTGCGGCCCAGTACCAAATGACCTATGGACTGGTACTGGTCCGTGGACCTGGGGTTGGGGACCCCTGATCTATACAGTCTTCCATTTACCGACTCTTCAAGGGAAACTGTATTGATGATGTGGCTCCTGGTGAAAATGAGTTTAACACCCCTAATTATGGCATCTACAACAGTGGTAGTGGGAGAGTAGGGGGAGGGGAAGGGGTTAAACAAGTTCAAAGTTGCTTTCCACGTTTATGATGTGCAGACACAAATTAGCAAACATGTCTACGTGTCTATGTTCAGTAAATACACCTACTCCTGTCATTTACAAAGACTAAAAAAACTCTTCCTTTCACTGAAGCTCCTCGAGCATGAAATACAACAAAAGTGAAATGCTCAGCATGTTTGTGTAGGCTTCAACTTCAGGTAAGACTAGTCTCACAACTGACCAGGTGACAAGTGACATAACTGTCCTGTCAGAAGGATGGTGTCAAAAGTTTAAAGAAGACTCTCGACATGTTATACAGGCCGACGTCAAGAAGTACAGTAACAACAAAGATCCAACAACTCTATGAAGACATATTTTAAGTTATACTTTAGCTTTCTTTTTGTTTTTTTACAATTTCTATATATCAATATTTGTTTTACACTTTTTTGTATTCAACAGTGACTTCAACAAACTCACAGTCAGACACAGTGTCTCCTGATAAACATCTGACTGACCTGCTGCTCCATGGACATGGCAGTGGGCTGTTTATGTGCAGTCAGCCTCAGCGGCTCAATGGCAGTGGCTCCTTCACACTGAAGACCACATTTGTCCAGGATTGAGTCAAACACCTGCAACATAATGTTATATATGTTTAATATACAGTATGTTTAAGCCAGTACTGTACACCATACTGAGGTGATCATTTTAGACATAAGTTGTGTTTTGTGTTTTTTTTTTTTGTTGTTTTCTTTTACCCGTAACACAGTGGGCACGGTTTCTTCCAGATCACTGTAGTATGATGGCTGCTGGGTAAAGATGTTGTCTAAAAGAAAACCGTAAAAAGTTTAAAAAAAAAAAAGTTTGACCACCAAAAATTACATTTTTTTAAAAAAACATCTCACCGATCATTTTGTGTAGCAAGTGACCGTTGCCTTTTCCAAACAGAACACACAGATCCAAAATTTTAGGAATGTCAAAAAGGAAGTTCTCATAAATAATTTCCCCAAACACTGATGGAGTGAAAAAGTTCTCCTGAGGCAGATAAAGACACATGACATACACTTTAAGATTTACAGTAGGACGACACTGTATGAAAGGGTTAATCATACACTTATAACAACATTTTGTCACATGATTGCTGATCTGACCTTGGACTCCTTGTGAGTAGCCATTCTCAAGAAGGTGAGGAAGATGGTTTTGTGTATTGAACGTTGCATCTCAGCCACCGCTGGAGAGGAGGGCAACACAGTGATGTCCAGGCTCCTGGGAGCATGACGCAGGTACGACTCTAGACACATCTGCAAGGACTCATCAAACAAAACCTAAAGAAAAGAACGAACCGCAGCTGCCGGTCAGTGAATTCATAGTAAGTTGTTTTTTTTTGTTTTTTTCAAACACAGCGTAATCGGTACTTCACCTGACACCAGAACTTGTCGTGGGGCAGTGCAAGTAGCCACTCCAAATCTTCGATGATGAATCTGACATACTCCAGAAACTCCTCCACTTCAGCAGGAGAGGCATCTTCTACCAGCAGCTTGTAGGGCACGAAACAACGATCCTCCTTTCTCTCTGGGTGCTGGTGAGGAACAGAAACTGCAGACTTTTATTTTCATTTCAACTGGTTTTTGCAACAGCCTGCTGATTTGGAACCTCAATAAATATAAATGTGTACCAATCCACTCACCAGTGCAGGAAGTGTTCGCTCTTTTCCCACAGGACCAGGCTCTGTCACCACCTGCTCATCCAGCGGCACACGGGCACTGGCCATGGCTTCACCGTCTCTGCGTTTTCTACAGTAATCATTATGACAGGTAAATTCAATTTAAATGTGATTTTGAAAACTGGAGTTGAACAATGGTGCAAATGCACTTGTTTAGTAATTCTATTTATATTTAACTGTTTCTTCTTTTTCTGTTTTTTTGGTGATGTTTGCTATTTTAAATTTTAATACTTAAGTCATGTTTTGGTCTGGTGGGTTGTGTAAATTATAATGTATATATTTTGTTTGTTTATTTTTGAACAAAAATGCATATTAATGGGTAATTAATACGTAATAGCGGTGACTAATCATCAGTGAACCGAACTGTCTAATTTGAATGAATACCTGCCTGTCATAGATGATTATGAGACTTAAATCTATTCACTTTTTTCCCCTGCTTCAGCCACATTATGCTCGCGGTTTTGAATTTTGAATGTGAATGTACAGCACATTTGACAAGCTCCACACCCAGCGTCAATTTGACAGCCATTTACTGACATTTAATAACTTTAACACCTCTCTATTTAATCAGAAATATAAAAGACGGCTTTAGAATATAATTTATAGCTTTGGGATTATTTGACAACAGGAATCACTTTCAATCTCTGAGCCGTCAACTGTGTAGTAAACAGGGTCATAATACCAAAAGCGCTGACGTGTGAACGTCCTTCAGTTTTCCTCTTTTGTCGAACCAGGAAACAACCACTATTTCACTAAAATCCCGACAAAAACATTATTTTTCAGCGGAGACACCCTGTTCAACTCAAGTGACAGCACGTCAATGTGTAACCCCAACGCAGCTAATGCTAATCAGCCGGTGACTTTAAAAACCGTCTTTACGCCACTTCTATTACACAGTTATGATTGGAAAAATGTCAACAAGTTCATCACCCTTCTACTGAGACCAGTTGCGACACTTCCTGGCCATTCCACCACAGGCAACGCAGCTTTGCCCGCAGTGTAGATTTCAGACGTTCTCCTCCTAATCTCCTGTTAGTTTCATATGGAAATGACGTCACAATTCTGAGGAAATGACGCATACGCAACAAAACCATAGCTTAGTGTCCTTACTGCCCCCGCGGGTATAAAACAACTCAACAGGGGGAAAAAATCACTTAGATCAAGTCTAAAACTTTGAAAAATTAAACCTGCAACAAATTTAGGAAAACAATTATTATTTGCAATTGGCAAAAGTCCTTTATTTTAACATGACTTTGAACCAGAAACGACCCTGTTGTGGTTTTTGGTGCAGAAACCCCCCCATTGATACAAATTCTTTTTTTAACTTTATTTAATGATTTTTAAAATTATATTACTAAATATTTTAGTTGATTTTCTGTATTTATTTATACATGTTTAACCAACCGACGTCGATGTGTCTGTCATCTCATATTGTAGCTGTTTTTATTTTATTTTTATTTTTATGGTCTGTATTGTTATTGGACCACGGGGGTACAATCAAACTGAGCCTCTGCTTTTAACCCATCTGTGAAGCAGACAAAAATGCCCAAAGACACACAATGGAGTTAAGTGTTTACTGTGTGACCCCCAAGCTAACGTTGATTCTGGCCTTATGTGTTAATTTTAGCTTTGATAGCCAGAGCTGCTAACCCAATTTTGTTGTGCTGTATTTGTGTATTTTGCAATGATAATAAAGGGTCTCCTCTCCTCTTGCCTGGATGTTTATAGATTCGGTTCCAGACATGGTACAGCAAGTCGTGTGTCGCCCTGTTGCTGCCTACTCTAGGTAAGTAGATGCAATTTGTATAGTAGATGGGGGTTAGAAGGATCTCCTTAATTGCACAGTCCACACGGCACTCATGTTAAATAATGAAAAGCAGAAGCAACACAGAATAAAGTAGGTCACCGGACAATATATTTTCTTGGAAAATACCATTTATATAAAAAAGTACTCCCTTGATACCATTAGGACTGTTGTAGAGGACTCGCACAGAAGAAAAAATTTCAAATGTTAAATTACAATATACAGTCTGAGAGAGCATTACAGACATCGATAAAGCTGTTATTATTCATACAGTATGAGAACTGAGATTTTAATTAATTGATTGTGTCTGAAGACATTGTGATTTATTTTTTATCCTTGACAAAAAATATCTACCTATTTGTTACACATTTTTTTAAAATCAAATGTGAAATCCTGAAACAAAGATTAAAAAAAAAATCTTAACAGTAATTTTTCAGTTTAACTTCCTGTAGCGTAAAGATACAATGATTAATTTAGGTTGAATGTAATGCATAAAGTATATATTTTATGGCTCAAAAATAATAAATAATCTCTCCATTAACAATAAACAGCAGTACAACTGTACCCCACCTGGTACCAGTTTTCATGGCTTTCCCGCTCCTTCCAGAATGATGAGTCATTCTTTTAGGAGATGAATACAGTGAAGCATTCACTCATGTACTTCACTTGCTATTTCTAATAAATATTATTGAGCTCATACTAATCTACGGTAACACTGCACCTCCGATGTGGCATCTGGTAACTGGCTGAAGTTTGAATAATACACAGTAAAAAACCTGTACAACTCATCTGTCAGATCTTACCACAATGATGTTGTAGTGTTGTACAGCAGCACAGCCCTAGGTAATGCTATGACCTTTGCGATATTTACTAAACTAACCTTCTAAAATTTGTTAAAATAAAACCAGTCACATGAAAAAAAAGACTAGATAAAACTATTACAGTTCACAGAGCAGAGATTCCCTCAGGTTGACTTACATGTCATGGCCAAAGTATGTGGAAAACCGGACATTGAACACATGGTGTACGTGTGTTACTGAACCACTCTTTACCACCCGTTAGTATTTGCTAAACTATCAGCTAATGTCTTTAGTAAAAAAAAAAAAAAAAAAAAATCTGCAAATTCTCTTTGTTTATCTATGCCAGGGATTCCCACCGTTTAATGCACCCCTGGTGGTGCGAGAGCTGCCACTAGGAGGAGCGAGAGATAAAAATGTGATGGAAGTTTGGGGTGTTTTTTTGAGTCGGATTTTTTTTCCACACAAAAAGAACATTTTGTTAACATTTAAAATTAAGGGCTGACATTTTAATTTAAAAACTAACTGCGGGTATATACAGTATGTATATCAGTGTGTGTGTGTGTGGGGGGGTGTCTTCTGGTCATTTGAGCATGATTAAACATGGTGCCTTTGTAAGGAAGCAGGTTGCGTTTTTGTTTTGTTTTTTCCCAAAAGTGTTGGAAACTGGGGTTTGTGTAGGGTTAAGGAAGGGTGTGTGTGGCCAAAATGGTTTGGGTCTATGTGACAGTGACACACAAATAAATTAAATGCTCTTTCACTAGGTGACTGCAGATGGCTATCAAAACTAAAGAATGACAAGAAACTCTGTGCTACTGAACACGATTATTGTGCCCTGGAATTCCTGGGAGTATAATACTGTTGTGTTCAACTAAACAGGTTCAGGTTTTGCACTGAATAAGTAAAGTGAAATGACAAGACCATTATATTTCGTGACATACTTTTGATGACATTTTTACTATTATTGTTATGTAAAACACGTGCCGTGGTTTAAAGTCGGTTGGGAAACGCTGTTCTAAAAACAAAAACAAGGTTAATTAACTAGTGTTTTGCTGTTGGCCTGAGACCAAAACACTAGGACTAGCAGTCATGTTTTATAGTGTCATCTTTTACTTTTGGGCCAAAATCCTTTAGTTGACCACAGGTTGCCATGGTAACTGTAACCTACTGGAGGAGCATATAAAAATAGCATGCTGGAACAATTCCCATGGGTGCAATATTTCAGGCCCAACAGAGCCCCAGCATGTGCCAGCACATGGAAAGATGATTAAAAAGTTTTTGTTTTTTTTTAATCAACAGACTCTGTGGTGTTTTATAAATGCTTGCGCAACAGCCATAAGTGGTTTTTAAATGACCATGTTTTTTTTGTTTTGTTTTTTTTGTGTGTAACACCTTAGGAAATAAACTTGGAAATGTATACACACCCCTTTCTAGAATGTTGAACGTACTGTACTTGCTGTGAGAAAGCTATGCAAACCATGAAAAGCTTCTACACCACAAACCTGATACAAAAGTCAACAAAAAGGCGTTGGCAATGACAGGAGACAAGAGAGTGGGAGAGTCTACAGTTAAGAGTTATGAAATAACTATAAGAGTAATTGAGTCCTCCCTGCTATGCCAAGGAGGAATTGTGTGTTTGACGCAATCTGCTGTCTCACTATTGGACGTCATGAAATTTTACACCCCAGAAGTTTAATGATCGCTGGGTATTGTGTCAAATTAAAAGCTGATGTTTATCTCTGTAGTTTCAACTCAAATGAGAAGCATCTCTGCAGGGATTATAGAGTGGAGAATGTTTCCACATATTTCTGGCCATGCAGGGTAAGTACTACAGTAACAAAAGAAAAATATTACAACTTTTTCAATAAATGTCATACATATCAGAGATAGATGACTGACCAATTAGTTTTGACAGTGTGTGTGTGTGTGTGTGTGTTCTTACAGCATATAATTTATCTTGCATTAAACTATGACTTGATTATAAAAGTACATTTGTTACAGTATATGAGATTTCCAAACACCAAGGGCAATAAAAATACAAAAACCTAGAACTACCTTTAAATGAAGGGCACAAAAGGTTCACTGTGGAGAAATGCAGCTAAGAACACTGGGTAATTTTACGTCAGGTCTATCTACGTAATGCCACAACACTATGGTCTTTGAAAGACGTAGACGTTTCCATAATCAACAGAACAAAATGTCAGTTTCTCTTCCCACCGTCACTGTGTAGCCCTTCATTATTCTCTGCCCATATTTGGTCTTTGAATGTCACATTTTCTCCCATTTTCACGTGTAAAACATATAAACATTAAACATTAAACACATTAAACACAAGTGAAATTGTAAGTCAATTTCAAATCAATGCGAACAAAAAAAGAAAGAAATCCAGGTCAGGTCCATGATGATTTTTTTTTTTTGGTGTGGAATCATGAAAGCCTTATACTGAGCTTTAAGCAGTAGTTACCTGATTGTGCTTTTCCCACCTCCAGAGGGAATGACGCGACCAAAGAGGACAAGTTACTTGAGCATCACTAGCTGAAGCATCAGCTCAATGACATTCACTGAAGGAACAATAAAAAAGAAGATGGGAATAAAGGAAGGGAGCAACTAAGAAGGAAGGAAAAGATCAGGAGAAAGATGAAGTAAGCGGGGGCCTGTCTGGGGACTGAGGAGTATGCAGGACTGGGTAAGTATTGCACATCTGTTTAAAATAGATGTTGAGGTTGTTGGTCAACGGAGCAGCTGTTGATAAATGTTGAGAAAACAAATCTGGCTGCTCTTCTGACCGATATATACTGCATGTATGAACTGCACAAAAACAGCAATGGTGTAATTCTGTGCGTACCTGCCGCACAGCAAACCCCCACCCCCTTGGAAAACTCCAGGGTTCTGAAAGCAGAAGAATTGAAGATAAAGCAGGAACATAACCCTCTCTCTTCTCTCTTGTTATTTTTCCAACAGCAAACACCAGCTGATGTCCCCTGTTCCGTTCCACACTGGTCAGAGCTGTTGTTGATCCAGAGCAGCGTGGTGTTAGCCCAGCTGTATCTGTCCAGAGTAGGTGGTGAGCAGGAGCATGATGGAGAAGCCTGTCAGCAGACCAGCATTCTGGATGGCAAAGGTGAGCAGAAAGCTGCTGCCGCCTGCGTCCTCTTCCTCACGACACACCTCGTTCATCTCTGGGAACTAAAAAATGAGATGAAACAAAAAGAAGAATCTGATAAACTTCACAGTTTCTTTGCTTCCCACCTCAGCAGAACGTCACTGATTTAGAAAATAAAAAATTCAGATTCCACACCAAAAATAAATCATCATGGACCTGAACTGGATTTCTTTTTTTCTTTTTTTTTTTGTTCTCATTGATTTGAAATTGACTTCCAAGTGGCCTGGAAAAGGCAGCAAGTTTCTGCTAGACTTCATGGTTAACGTTAAAAGCTACACTAGGTAAAGAGGAGCACTTGTATTTTAACAGAAATTTTCTTCTTTTCCTTTCAGCTTTGCCCCTTTTATTCAGGGTATTTTAACAGAAATAATTCAGTTTTTTTTAAGTGCAGTTCTACATTATGATGTTAAACCAAATGTCCGTCTGTTGTATTAGACTTCTTGCTTCCTTCAAACTTTAAACTACTACTACTTGTTTTAGTAAAGCTGACATTTGCAAACGTCTTACTCACCAGTAACCATTATTACAAGTACGTTAAACATACATTTTCTAGGGTACTCTGTTTAGTCAGTTTCTATTAAAACGTGGAAAAATAATTTCATTATCATCATTCAGAGGTCAAATCAGCCACTATGTGTGGAGTTGTAAAAACGTTTTCTACTCTGTACCACCTGAGAAAATCTTGATCTCTCTGAGTACCACCATGATGACCAACATTAGAATATAGCAGCGTAGGCCTTCACTATTAGCTTCCACCACAGGAGAGATGTTTAGAAATGTTTAGAAAGATGTTCATGTTTAAATGTTGTATTAGTTGTACATGGTAGGTTTCAGATTTATTCAATTGAAAATGTAAATGCGAAAATAGGAATTTTCCCCGCGTACCACTAGAGAGGACTTGGGTACCACACGTGATACGCATACCAGAGTTTGAGAACCACTGGTCTAGAAGTTGTTTAATGTACGCAAACCAATATTTCTTCCACTACTTCTGTTCATTCTGTATTTGACCATTCGGCAACAGAATTCTGACTTGCTGTGTAGGCTCCAAAGGGCGTATCCTGCACAGCCAAAAATAGCCCTGAAATAGTTGTTGGTCCTACAGCAGAATCTCTGACTATTGTCTGGCATGATTGCATGATGACATGCATAGTTCAGCTGCAGTACAGAGATTAAAACACTGATACATAACATGGCTTTTATACTTGACTTACCATGTCTGCCAAAGCAATATAGAGAAACATTCCTCCTGCAAGTGCGAAGATCCAGTTTGGGGAAAAGCTGTTTCCAGCCAAAATGCCAAAACCCATACCCAGGTAACAACAACAGGCTGACAGGAAGTTAAAGAATAGAGCCTGCTGTATGCTCATGCCGGCATTCAGAAGGATCACAAAGTCCCCTGGACGACAAACAAAGACAAGGGAAGGAAAGTAAGAAAGTGAACTCCTTGTCATTGTGACACAGCTCACCACTGCACACGACCAAATGTGACCTCTGTTTTTAACCCATCACCAAAGTGTATGGGGACGGTGCCTTGCTCAGAGCACCTCAGTGGTAACTTGGCAGCTGGTGGACTTGAACCTGAAGGACCCAAGTCCGCTTCCTTAACCACTAAGCCACCACTGCCACTTTCAAGACATTTCATTGGATAAAAAAAAGTTTACAAAATATTCTAATTGTGATGATATTTCACACACAAAATATATTATTTTATCAATGTTATCAATTACACATGAAAACAGTTTTCTTCTTCTTCTTACCCAGCTCATGGGGGAACTCCTCACACAGGATGGCCACAGAGGTACTGATGCCCTGAAAGACGGAGGCTGTGAACGAAGCCCCGATAGCCAGACCATCGATAAAGTTGTGCAGCCCATCACTTAATGTGATCATCCAGGCCAGCGTACCAATGTCTGAATAATTGGTCCCTTTTAGCCAATAGCAGCCGGCGCTTCTGCCTGCAGATCGCCCCCCGCCGTCTGTGCTCTGTGAGTCCTACAATGATGATGGATGTAGCAACAACATGCAAGTTTTTTTCATTCAATATTGCAGTTAAGGGGAGAAAATGTAATACTCATATTTAAAAAATGAAAGTTTTCTCTATGTCTTAAAGTTACAATTTTAATCGTCTCTTCTGTCATCTGTACCTGAGGTGTCTGTGCAGGACTGAGCATGAGTTCACCCTCTCCTGCATCCACCTTGCTCACAGGCAAACTATTTGCTTCCCCATTCTGCTGGAGCTTCTCCTTCTCACCATCCTCCAGGTCCCTCTCAGGTGCACTTGGATAATGACTGTGGCCGTGGCTCTGAAAAACAGGGGAAAACATACAATTATATCAACGGACTTAATGTAGATGTATAAGGACTGGTCGGAAACAGTTGTCACAGTGTGACAAAGGAACACAATTATGTGACTAATAATTGATAGGTGGTACAAGCCTAGATTAGGCACACACACACACAGGCTCGCGCACACACACACACGCACACACACATACACACAGACAGACACAGACCAAAGAATTGAACTTTCCCACCCTTCAAAATGTGCAAAATTATGCATTCAAAAAAGTAGGAGCCATCTTAAGCTAAATATATCCTAGTCTTGAAATAAGCCTCTAAATGCAACATTTGCTTCAAGGTCAGATACTACTAGCTTTAAAGTTACCAATGAAACTGTATCATATTTCGAACAGTTATACTGTATTCTACTCAGTTCTGTGCTACAAATGTAAACCCACTTCAAATGGATTTTTGTAACTATCTAATGTTCAGAGCTGATACTTAAAAATGCTTCTATTTGTTGGTGTCACAGGGTAGAAACGTGTACTTACCCCATGTTTCCGGTTGAGAAGCACTTTCAGGACCTTTTCAGTGAAGAAGAAAAGGTAAAAGCCTCCAAACACCACTGCAGACTTTGATACATACAAATCCACCATGGGGTCAAATCCGAAGGCCTACACACAGAGAAAGGAAGACAAGGTTAGCTCCTGTTATTCAAAGTCAAGTCAAAATATTACTCTCTGGTATATTTTCGAAAGATGTGTTTGGAATGTTGCGTAGGTATCATTTAATGGATTGGAAATTACAGCACATGTTTAGTCTAACTAGATTCATGCCCTAACCTTTTGATTTATTTCTGTACCAGTAAAAGGAAACCTAATTTACATACAATTTTTTTTTTGATTGTTTGTCTTTTGAATACTGTTTTGGATTTACTTAAAATACAATGGCTAAACGTGATTTAAAAGAATGTCTGGCATATTTTAATAAATGTCAACACTTTTATGAAAATGCAGTCACTGGTGTCTATAAATGATTATTGCTTATTAACTGTGTCAGGAAAAAAACAATTAACAGCCTCATTACATTTTTGTCGTCATTTTGTTGTTAACAAATGGCCCCGCATAGTTGCCTCCCCTCCCCCCTGCCCCCATCCTTTCGATTGAATCTCCGTTTGCATGCCCCGCCTTTTACGAAACAAACCAAAGCCCTGATTCCAATCAGAGAAACTTTTGAGATTCCTTTTTGAGCAATCGGAGTTAATCTTGCTGCCTATAAGGCGGGACATTTAAGAGGAACTCCAATCGAAGCGAACGTACGTCCGGCGAAAGCGGGAAAAACACGAGGAAGCGTCTAAGTCAAAAGTGGGGATATTATTGTGCACGCGTGACTAAAACGTTTTTATTACCTCAGAGAAAACAACACACACTGTTTACCGTGTAGAACGATTGTCTCAGGAAAGGAGAGGGCACATTTTAAGTGTCATGCAAAGGTAAGCAGGCACAGCAGCTAATTTTGAGGCAAATTAAGTAAAATCAGTCACGGTTGCCTCTTAACAACAAGAAGACGGGAAGTGTATAAATAAAAAACTAACTATAAGATTACTTTGCCATTTCTGTCCTTGTTATAATTGATATAAACTGTATACCCGTGGGTGTGTACATGTAAGGTAGCTGTAATTATTTAAAGGGAGAAAAAATCGAATTAAATTTCAATCAATGAAAATCATACACACTTACATTGTAGTCAAAAGTCAGAGACCAAATCAAAGTTGGTTTTCAAAATGAACACTGCCCCCTACGTTGTGTGAGGGACAAACCTAGCATCTTATCACCTGCCTATCAATATAAAATAGTATTTTTTTTTTTAACTTGATTCACAAAATAACATTTTCATTGTACATTTTCTGCCTCTCACCTGTGTTTTTTCTATAGATCATTTAGTAAGTTTGGAATTCTTTCTTATCTCAACGTGTCAATATGCAGACTATATCCATCTGTCTCTTTATTACATTTTGCAATGACAGACTTTAAGTTTCAGTTTGTGATCATAAGGTTTGTCAGTGGATTATAGTGCATTTGGGAAACGGAGCAGCAGATTAGAAATTGATTTTGTGTGTCATGTATTTATCTTAAGAATATGCTGAAGTTAGGAGCATCAGTTCTCCTTTCTGTCAGACCTTCCTGTGTTGTTTTCTAATCTGTGATGGAGCACTTTATTGATGCATTGACGATTGATACATGTCTGGAGAGTGAGGCTGTTTACGCTCTCTTCACTTAAACACATTCTGGCACTGATTAATTTGAAAGCAGCAGCAGCAGCAGTAGTTTAAATGTAGTCTTTTGTTGTAGTGATTTCTTGATTAATAATGTGTCATTGTGTCATTTGTAAAGTTAAGTGATTGATGTGGCTAGTCAAAACGTTTTATTCATGTGCCAAACTCCCAGTCACAAGGGTTGCTGTGCATTTTCAAAATCTTCAGTAACTGTTAACGGTTGCTGCAGAAAAATGAATCTGTACTTAAACTCTTAGCAAAATCTTCAAACAAATATCATGGCTAATGGTATCAAGATTTGATTTGGCATTGGGACTTTTGATTGGGACTTTCTTCAACATGTTAAACACAGATCTACTGTATATGTAGAATCTGCACAGCAAGCCTGCTCTGAGCCACAGTGAAAGATGAGTCACAGCAGCGCCGACTCTACCTCTGGGATGAGCTGAAACAGGGCGTTGGAGTAAAGCGTGCCAATGGCCAGAGCTATGAAGTAGAGTAGCAGTCGCTTGTAAAAGGTTTTCCTCATGAAGGGCACCACACTGGCCCCCACCAGTGAACACAGAGAGATCAGTGTCACGCACAGGATCCCATAACCCCAGACTGATCAACAGACAGGAAGCCCAAAAGAGAAAAGGGGAAGATGAGAAAACAATTGATCATTATTTGAGAAGTGGTTTTGACTTGTTAATTTTATAGGATAATGAACAAAAGCGATGAGGAACAGGAGCTTCTTGTTACACTGAAAAGAAAAGGAAGTTTGAATAGAATTAACCTGAGGAGAAGTGGCAGATGTTCCTGTGAGAAATTTCACAAAGAGAATGACGTTTACATTGAAGACAGATCAAAAGAAGTGAAACCACCAGATGACAGTTGTTTTTAATTGTTTTTAAACAAGGGCTTTTCCTTTGTTTAAAAAAAAAGAAACGCTAGAGCGCTAATTCCTCAAATCCACATAATCAGAGAGTTTCACTTGCAGTTTGCACGGGTGCACCTGTCACAGCTTGAGAATAAACATTTGTTTTCAGTAAAGACTACAAGGCAGGAAAATAAACAGCCCAGGAGCATGGCTACAAAAGAAAGGACAGCTTTCAATCTGACAGATGTTTAAGCGGTAATGTGTTCTTTCTTTCTAGAATTGTGTACAACACAAAAGTAGGACAAACGTAGTAGGGTACACAGATAATGGCTGGCATGCCTAGTTGCAATCAGGGGAATAAGAACTGTAACAATGAACCATGAAATGCCAGTGCAGTAAACACAGAGTTGAACAAAGTAAGCACATACAGGTGGATGCTGGGAGAAAAAAAAGAGTATTTTTCTATTGCTCAAATGGATCCTGTGAATTCCACTTGGAATAAAACAAAGACAGGAAGGAAGGAGGTGTGACGAAAGACACGTAGAAATTGACTATGTTACTGTCAGCTATTTTCCATAGTAGGGGAAATGAAAGTACGAGTCAGTGGAATTTCCCCTTTTGGCACAAATACACATAATATAGAATGAATTAATTACTTAAAATTAATTAGATTTGTTGCGCACCCCTCTGCTATTGCTCCTGATCTCCCTTGTGACCCGCTTGGTTAACGTGTGCATGGCATGCAGTTTGTGAGTATGAAAAGAAAAAGGTATTTGTGATGTTAAAACGTGTATGGATAGCAAACCTCTGGCAGAAGCTGTAGCACAGCACTGGAGAACAGTGTGCCGATGGCAAGTGCGATGAAAAAGGTGAGGGTGGCTTTCATATAGCGTGACTTCATCAGCGGCACACTAAAGATCCCGGTGAGGGCGAAGACATTGACCACTGTCACAGCCAGGAAAGAAAAGCCCCACACTGGACCGCGTATTCACAGGAGGGACGGATAAAATAGTTAGATGAAAGTGGCAGTATCAACACAAGTAGCCATGCAGAGCATGTGGAAATTCAAGGAGCGCCATTCTCAATAGAAATTCAATGTAAATTAAGTTTCAGTAATGTATCAGTGTAGTAAGATTTCAGCTGCTTCACCTCGCTCCAGCCTTTAAAAGAGTTACACATAGCTGGTGAAAAATATGCTGGTGATCAGTAGATAAAGACATGTTGGTAATACTTCCTCCAGGCTGGAAACATCCGACTGAGAACTAAAGAGGAGGCTGAGTTAGGAAAACAAAAAAGGATGATTTTAAAAGACACATTATTACATTCGGGAAAGAAAGCAGGAGTGAGTGAAAACTGTGTTAACCTAATGAGGGTACAATGAGAAGTTAAAAGACAGATATACAGTATATACCCAGGTCACAAGGTTAGCTGTGCATGTTCAGAATCTTCACTTAATGTTAAGGGTTGCTGCAACAACTGTATCTGTAAACTTGTACCTATGAATTCAACAACCAACATCATAGCTGATGATGAATCTAACAATTAATTCTTGTGTCAGGGTGTGATTTGGTAATGGGACCTAATAAGACTATTAGCCTTTCATTAGCCCAATAGGTGCAACCGCAACTAGCACTTTAGTCAAATGGCAAACATATATTTATATATACACAGACAGAGGAAGTGAAAATATATACCAAAGCTGTATTTAACATCTACGAAATTAACCACAAACACTAGAGGGAGTCCAAGTACCACCAGTGGTATGCATACCCTAACTTGAGAACCACTAATTTACACAGGCTGTTAGGCAACAAACTTTTTAAAATTTAAAAAATTTAAAAATAGTGCTTAATTGAAATGTTTATCATTTCTGCAGTATTTACATGAGTGTGGGATCAGCTTTAGAGAAAAACCACCTTGACATTTGCTTCCCTGCGGAGAAACAAAAACCTTATCGAGCCAAAATAAGCAGCAAGTGTGAGGTAGGCTGAGGACAGGAGGAGTGAATGATAAGAGCCTGCAACCCACTTAACTTAACAAGGACTAGATAAAGTAGTTTTGAAAAGACAGAACTGTGGGTGCCAGACTAGTGAGGTCACAGTAAAACAACTAAACTATGAGTTTTAAAATAAAGACGGGATAACATGTCAGTTGTTATGTCAAATGTACAGTTATCACATACAAAACAAAGATGCTTTCGTCTACTGTGAAGCTGAAGGCTGAATGACAAAAGATCACTTAAATTGTATTTTGAAGTCATACATATATATATGTATATAAATATACATATATCTATATATATATATATACGTATATATATATATATATATATAGCATTCTTTAGCATTTTACTAGTGCTACAAATAATTGACCTATGATTATTTATCCTGGGGTAGAGGTTACGGGTCGATACTTTTGGAACGTTTGATCCTTTAGTCTGCTGACAGGATAGTTTCTTGATCTTTCAAGGACACTCACTGGATGTACAGTGAGTTTATTGTATGGAGTTACATTGGATCAGATTTCCCTCTGCTCAAATTATATTTGTCAACAAGATCTCTGCTTCGCACTAGTTTCTCTGACTGTGAAGTACAAGGGATGTTTTACTGTATGTAAGCCTTGGTTCTGACATATTCGTGCTTATTTTGGCTTGAATTGGCTTTAACTGTCCTTAATATTACAGCTAATATGCAGTAGGATACTATTTTGGAGCTCACAGTTTAGTTCTGTATATAAATCTAAAACCAAATGGGTAGCAAGTTAGTCCCCACCTTCAGCATCTGAGGGCCTGGGGGAGATGTCGCTGCTCGACGTCTCATCTGTCTGCATCCTGCAGGTACCAGCACCAAGCTGCTGCAGCATGGTTGGACAAAGCTCCTGCAAACCTTGTCCGTCCAGCCGTGACTGCTCACTTATGCTGTAAATAGCCAATGTGTCTGAGGGCAAGCACTGGAAATGAGAAGTAGACCCTTTGTCAGTTTAACCTTTCTTACTTTGAACAACAGAATAACACAAAATGCATTATAGAAAAAGCACACACAAAAAAACACCCAAACAAAATAATAATAAGATTGACATGGATGATGCATAAAGCATACATTAAAAATGAAATTTCCGATAGTTGATAAACAGACCTACCACTGGTCATAACCTCACTTAGTTATAAATTGGTAATTAAAAGTACAAGTTGTGTGTCAATATATGTCAATATTTGATTTTTGCTCACAAACTAAACAACATGAGTACAATACTAGTGTATTAATGTACCCTGAAAAAGGGTTTAAAATTTAGATAAAAGTAATTATTATTTTAATCACTAAGACTTATAAGTGAAAGTCTTTCAGTACCAGGTGTGATGATAACAAGCAAATGCACAAGGAGAGACTCGCAGGGAACGTAGGACTGACAGGAAAGGAAAGGAAGGAAAGTGAACTCCTTGTCATTGTGACATTGTGACACACATCACTGCACACAACCAAATGTGACCTCTGCTTTTAACCCATCACCAAAGTGAACATTGGGCAGCTTTAAGGACTGGGGAGCAGTGTGGGGACGATGCCATGCTCAGAGCACCTCAGTGGTAACTTGGCAGCTGTGAATTTGAACCTGCAATCCGGACCCAAATCCGCTTCCTTAACCACTAAGCCACCACTGCCCCCTGACAGGTACAGTACATCTATCATATATAATGACGTATAAGTAGTCTGAAAATGGCTAGGTGCCAAAGAAAGATTTCCAAGGATGTCAGCAGCCATTCCAGTGACTCATGACTACACCCACCATGTGTTTTTTTAGACAAAACCAGATGTACAAGCACAGCAGTAAGGCTAGTTAAACGAGTTATTTTCTGTAATTGATTTTAGTTTGAAAATGTAAGATATTTCTTTGTGTGGTGCAGTGGCCAAAAGAGCTGGAAATACAAGGATTAAAAAGGGCTTAACTATGGGAGTTATGCTAAATATTTCAGCTATCTGGATCCCATGACTGGCTGGATTACCCTTCTGCTTCAGAGTGCTAGAAATGCTATGTTTTATATTGAATCCATAGAAATTGCATCATTTGTTAAACTGAAGCTCGATTACTTGTGTGTGTGTGGGGGGGAGAGGGTGTGGGAGGGGGAGCTGAGATTAAGTTTAATCTCTAAATTTGGTGTAGAACTGAAACAATTATGATTAGCAAATTCCATTTTTCTCACCTTGGAGCTGTTGGATTTAGGTAGTGTGCTGTTAGTTGTGTTAGCCACATTGCTGCCACTGATACCATCAGCCTGATCCTGGCTGAGAAGGGACAGCAAAGACCGTAGCTGGGGCACTGTGATGGTGGTGTTGTCGCCATATCTGGCCAACAGGTCCTGCAGCACCTGGGCAGGAGACAGATTCTGGCTTTCTCCCTGAGCTGTCACAAAGTCCAAAGGACAGAGCAACACAGCCAGGGCCACAACAAATATCATCTTTGACTGGACTGAGGTGATGGTGGTTGTGACACTGCCATTAGGGAACCACATAAGCATGGCTTTTTCACTGGCTGGAACAGCAGTGATCTGTGTGAAACAAAAAGCAAAAGTCATCAAACAAAACCAGCTGAAAGTGAAAGATAAGGTCACAGAGCTGAAAATGTTGGGGTTTTAATTTGGAAGCCCTAGTTCCTAGTTTTGTAAGCAGTTGATATAAACAAATGAGGAATTATTTTAGCATTTTTAGCCTTTGCAGTTGACTTTTAATTTCCATGATGTAGGAAGATGAAAACACTGATAATTATTATTTTATGTTGGAACATGAAGCTGAGCTAAAAACCCAGGCGTTCACAAACCCTCTTTGTATAAACTTTACCCTCAAACGACATCAAATCAGTAAAAGACTAGCATGTCTGCCCTGAAGCTCTTAGTCCATCTAGTAATGCTCACAGGTTACCTTCACACAAAGTAATTGGAGGAGGGGGAGGCTGACACAGGCTGAAAAGCAAGCTGTTAGCTTGAAAATGCCAGAAGACAATAGAGGACTCCTCAGGAGCTCAGTGAACTGTGAAGGAGAAAAAAGACAGAGAAAATTAAGAAAAACACTAACTGTAGGCAAAGATATACATGAAAAAAACTAAATTGTGGTTGTAAAACTATTAAAATGTTTTGATTAATCACAGGCTAACTGTGGTTGATTATTATTATGGCAGTTGATTATATTATTATGATTGATCCTAATCATAAATAGTCAAATCACAAATACATAGTGTTATAATACAATGACGCTAATGTTCTTGTGATGATGATTGTCAGAAAACCAAATCAAATGCTCCTTGTTAAATAAACACACACATTTACGTGCCCCTTCTGTATAGTCTTTTCTCCAGATGCTTAAACGACACCTGATCAGTGAAGTATCGGCGTGTCTACTCTGTAGCTCTCAGCCTATTTAGTATGCCCACAGGTTACCTACAAGCAAAGGAGGAGGAGGAAGCTGAAGTAGGGGCTGAAAAGTGAGCTGTGGAGAAGACAGCTGAGGACTCCTCAGCAGCTCAGTGAACTGTGCAGGAGAAAAAGAAACAAAAGAAACAGAAAAATTCCCACTGGTGAAACAAGGAGACAGAAGCCAATGGGAGAGGCAGTGGAGGTAGACAGAAAAATGTAATATGAGCTTCATCCAACATTTCTGGGGTATTTATTCCTTAACCATCGATTGGCCTACTTTAAATTTCAATCTGACACTGAGGTCAAAATAAGCAGCTGCTACAACAAGCCCTTCATTCCTTTTCTTAACTGAACATCTTTTCTTCAGCGTTTAGAAAAGGGAGGCCGATTAATTGGCCCACAAAAAAAAAAAAAAGAAAGAAAAACTGAGTCAAGATGTTGTTGTACAGGAAGGCAACACGGTGCACACACAAAATTGGAGCCAAATAACTAATACCAAATGCTCCTCTTTGCACTGCTCTCTAAAATTGCCACTGAACTGCTGTGTTTCCACTGTCTCATTTCTGTCCAAGAACTACAGTAAGGGGGTAATAAAAGAGTGTCAACTTCTGTCCATTCAAAAATCAATAATAACATATTTGAGCTATGCCTACACATACCCTAAACACAAACAGTTAAAACAATGCTGAATTCCCTTTTAAATGTAAGCATGTCAGGTTAAAACAAAAAATGATTGCTACCTACTCACTACGCCACTCCTAGTAAATAGTCCTCGGTCATCTTTCGTAATCAATGTCAAGTCCAAGGCCTATCTGTAGCCATGGAGATAAAGAGCAGGAAGACTGGCAGACTGCAATAGAGACCTCTGTCCTTCAGAAAAGCAGTGACGGCCATCCCCTGACTTTAAATATGAAATTTAACAAAGAGTGGACAGGAAAGAATAAAGGATGAAGCAGGAATACTGCTAATTCTCATACTCCTGTACTCCAAACACAGCAAATCTCATGGCAACAAAACAGACATGGCAACCAGATTTCAGTTCATCAGCAATCTGAGCACTGGGTAACTACCATCATTTTATCAGGGCCTCAAGTGTAAACACTGTCTTGTTGATAAGGTTGCCTTGTCATCAACTTCACCAGCTGACAAAGCAGAAGTGCCTTGACTTGGAGACACTGAGTGGGAAAACAATCTTATAAATTAGATACAATTTTGAGTAATGACCACAACCCATAGTTTTAAATGTCAGCCTGACCGCCTCCCCCCACTAGGAGTTTATTATTGTCAAGAGGGTTCACTTCGCTCTTTCCGCTATGGAACAAGTGCGCTCAGGTGCTGAAACTGATGCACACAGTGAACCCTCTTGTCATCCAGCTTGTTTGGAGGCAATTGAGAAAAGCAAATTTATCAAGGCCAGCAAAATGATCAGGCTCATTTTCATTTATCGTGCAATCAACGGATTTGTTGATTATCGTCCCAGTGCTAAATTATAAAGGTTTTAGTAACAATGGTGTCATACATGTTAACAACTGTATGTAATATTTTATCATTATCTATATCTAAGATAAAATTTAAAATGTATAAGAGTATACTGAATGACTCAATAAATTATCAAGTCAGACAAAAATAATGGTTAAAGCCTTTCAAACCTATTTTACATCACATTTATTAACACATTTCCTGAGACAACAAACAAGTGACTGAAAGAAAAGTTGCCTGAGTTTAACAGAACTAAAGTCCCTAAAATTAAGAAAACTACACAATGATCCAAACAAACTATTGATAAAAAATGTCATATTTGTCTGCTTCAAGAAGGTTTAGCTTTTTAAATCCAAAAACAAAATAGTTATCATCCATACCTCTTGTCAAAGCAAATAAATACATCCCAAAAGTTGCTTCCTAATTCAAAGTCAGTTTTTGCTGCAGAAAGACTGTGTCCTGCCCTGCAATATTTTCACACTGATCTGTTCAGTCTTTGATCACCTTATATACCTGCTGTGCAAAGAACCAGTTTAGCTGTTCATTGACTCACCACCTCACCCTAAGCCTTTAATTATTGTTTCTATGGGCTGCGAACCATGTATCATTTGCCAATACACTGTCATTAGATGAGAGAGTGTTCTAATGGACACAGTGTTGGTTCACCGGACACATTGTCCAGTACGTCCCAGTCATCCTGAGGTTCTAACAAAGTGTCTTTCACCACATAATAAAGGGTTACAGACCTGACCTCAAGCCCTTACTTTTACCCCGAGGTCAGCTTTGAGTTCGGGAAACCAGATGTGGAAAGCAAGATAGTTAAATAGTGATTTAAAATTGTCACCAACCTGCATCCATGTTTTAACATAAATTACATAAAAATAGCTTCAGTTTACACATACAGGATTTAAACAGACACAAATAGACAGTGTCCAATAATTAAGGAGAGCTTACATCTTTAAGTCTAAACTCCATCATTAGGTTTTATCAGTGTGTACATGAATAAAACACTTGCATGTTTATTTTAAAGCTTTTCTTGCTATACAAATACTGACTGCTCTTTGAAAGTGATCTGAGTTGGTACTTGAACTTTTTAAGTTTAATTAAACTCTTTTTAAAATCCAACTCACTTTTAAAAACAAATATTAAAATGACTGTTTGAAGATGCATCCTTATAAATAGTCCCTAGGTTCTATAAACAAAAATCCATAGAGCTGTGGAAAGATACCTGTCCAGAGACATACTTTCAAGTCACAAGGTCACCTAAAATAGTGTTTTAAAATAAATTATATATATATATATATGTGTGTGTGTGTGTGTGTGTGTGTGTGTGTGTGTATGTATATATATATATATATATATATTAAGTTATTAAGTTATGTAAACTCTCTAACTAAAGCTAGGATGGTTAGCAATACTAATATTTCTATAACATATAAATTAATACTCAGCTTTCTAATAAAAAATAGAAACAGTTTAATTTTATGAGTTTTTACTCAACACCAACGACCTCTAGATATGTTCAACAACAATATAGTTTTGTCATTTAATACTAACATCTTCTTCATCTAAACATGGAACTTTTACTTACAGTACTGTAAGTACAATCTGTACTACCACAGATGCCCAACTTGACGATCTATACCGCAATATATAGTGCAATCACATTTTTATTGCAAGCATACATAATGAATATACTGAAAATGTGATAATTTAAGTAGTAACTTCTATAACCAGGATTGGGGTAGCTCACTGTTGAAATGCCCTTTGTTTCTTTCAAAATGCTTCAGGCAGAAAAAAAGGGGGACATTCAGGTGAACAAAGGGGAAGTTGTGTTATTGTTGCTATTTAAAGCCCCAACTGGGATGGCTGGACGTCCACGTTTACATTCCAAACTGAATGTAAAGATGAAAAAGGGGAGAAATGTATTGAACGAAAATCAAAATAGGATGTAGCTACCTCAGGTAGCAACCAGACCTTTATTTAGCACCAGTCCCGTTTGGAATATAGTCCATAAAAACAGCAGACGAACCACAAGGCGTAAGTTTGAAGTTAACCGGTAAAGGTGGAATATGAGACTGTCTTAGACTGTCTTTCGCATGACATGGATCTCTATACACTAGCGTGTCATTAGCCGTGACGATTAGCTTACCCGGTGAAGCTGCTGGTTGACGTCGACTTCTTTCAATGAACACCGTCTCTAGGTCTGCCACCGGGCGATTGTGAGATGTAACCAATGGATGTCTCCAGTATCTTAGTTAATTCACACACGGACGGTAGACGGGGCTATTTTAACCCTATCTTACCCTCTTGCCATTCAAACGAACAACACATTGGCGGCGACAGCGGCATGCAATATCCAGAATGATAGTGATAACGTCGACGTGTAGAGTTTAAGTAAAGTATCATTGCTGCCATCTTGCGGTCAATAGTGGTTATTGTTTTATGAAAGAAATCGTTTACATATAGGATTAAATAGTAATTTGTTTTATTTGTTTTAATTAGCTTACGGAACAACGCCTTATGTAATTGCGCCTTTGTGTTAAATAAAGGGCTCGTCCGGGATTTGAACCCGGGACCTCTCGCACCCAAAGCGAGAATCATACCCCTAGACCAACGAGCCATTTAGTGATCATCTCTCTATCTCTGTATTGGACTTTCAATGGATCTGACTGAAACTTGGTTTTGAGAGATTTTCTGGCTCAACTGGAATTACATTTAACGTTCATGTAACCTGACGCTTCTGGAAAACCATGTCATATGTACTTGAAAAACAGACACAGCTCAACCTTTTTGGCACACAACAAACCATCCTTTTGTCTGTTGTTCATAATGCTGGATTGTCTTTTTAAAATCTCAACTAAAACCATATGCTCTCTCTATATATTTTAATTTCCAATGTATTGATTCTTTAAAATCTAAATTAAACTTCTGTTCACGCAAACCAAAGAAATACCTAAATGAAAGAAAATAGTTCCTTCGGAGCGTGTTTCGTCAGGCGGAAGTTGTTTTCACTGCGGAAGTGCCGTGACTGTCCAGCCAGTCGCTCTCTTAACTGTAACGTCCGTTTAATTTGACTTTAATTACGTTTGTGTGAAATTAAATCTGTATGTTGAACTCTGACGGCCTTGCTGTCTAGCCACCTTAGGTAAGAATACATTTAAATTGCTGTGTTTTCTCTACTGCTTCCTGTCTATGTAAAATCTGTACCGCTATGCTATGTTTAGCCTGGTTAGCGCTTATAGCCCGCCGCTAAGCAATGGCTGTTCAATGGGAAAATCAGTCCTGAAGTGATGATCTCACTTTGAATTCACGTATGGTATTTTACTTGTGTATATATATATTTGCTATAATTGGAGTATACTGGAAATAGATTCTATCTCGACTATTGCTTTCAGTTGAGCTCTCGCAGACAAGCTACTGACCAGAATTTTAACTTTACCATGGTACTTCAAAACAGACAATTGAGTATTATACACATATTGACACCCTAACACCAGGTGAATTTAAAAAAGATCTCTTATCATTCCAGATGTAAACAACATCCAAAAAAACCTTTTTATTTCTTCTCAATTAACACATCTTGATCATAGTATTTTTGAAAGTAAATACTGGTAATATTAAACGGTGTTTTGTTTATACCTTCTACATGATGAATCTCGGACTTTATTACTTTAACCGTCATAGACAGCTTAAGATAAATATGAGAAATTGCATTATCTTGAATTTTATATCCAGCCTCCAGGTTTGTCCACTAATTTTATAAGTGCTTTACCTGAATTTATCAAAAACTTTTATTATTCAGTCCTCTTTCTGTATTACTGGTTGTGTTGGCTGCAACAAAGAGCTACGCCGCAACTATGGTGTAATCAGTATAGGTCATCTATATCTCTGTCTGTTCATCAGCCATGCTGATAAAGCATTTTTACATTTCACTGCAGTTAAACGATGATAAAAAAAAACTTCTCAAAAGAGTCATTATCTTCTCGTAAATATTATGCAGTCAGAGATGTTTAGTCACTCACTATTTCAGTGTTGTATATATAATATACAGAAGGACATGCTCAGTGAGGATATTCTCACTGATGGGCATTGGGTTTACTTGTATCTGCTTTAAAATTGAAATACATTTATAAAACTTTTTGTTGCAAAGTAGGACAGCACCACAGTTGTTTAGTTTAAATCTCTACATATCTAAATATTCCTAAGCTAATTATTCAAAACGTTTTCAATTCATTTTGTGATTTAAGTTTTTGATTATGAAATTATACTGTTGTAAAGGTCATCAAATGATTTAAATGGTTATACCTAAAAGGCACACAGCCTTTAAGCCTAACAAGCCTTCCTCAAGTATTTGTCTTGTTTTTCCAGTGTTCCAGGCCTTATTCTTACAATGGCAGAGCACATCAACGTCAGTTTGCAACCTGAGGAACGAGTCCGTGCTCTGACCAAGAAGGGAAGCACGGTGGAGGTCAATGACGACGTTCCTTTGCGCCGATATTTTCGCTCGGGTATGGAGATGCTTCGTATGGCGCGTGTCTACATAGATGAGGGGAACGTCGAGAACGCCTTTGTCCTTTACAACAAATTTATTACGTAAGTGATCTATCAGATGGGTATTATTATTTGAAAATATTTTTATGATTAGTGGTTGTAATAGAAGTTAAACATGAGGGTATAGATTAAGTTCTCCAAGTTTTTTTAATTTGATATGTTATAATTGGAGTAAATATTCAGAAGTGGTGCTCTGCTAATAAAAGTGTCCTATAGCTCTATCTTGGTTCGACATGGTCAGAACTGAAAATATTTATCTGAGTATTTCAGTTGAATTTTTTCATTATATTGTCGAATAGTATTTAGTACTTTATTTCCATACAGTCATTGAATATTCTATTTTAATTGGTTTTTAATAATTTTTTGCATCTAGACTCTTTATAGAAAAACTTCCAAAGCATCGGGATTACAAGACGGCTTTTATTCCTGAAAAGAAGGAAACATTAAGGGTATGCATAGAGTGTTCACTAGGACATAAAAATAATGATTGAAATATATAATAATAATTAGATTGTAATTAGGAATATTTCCTGAAGGACATCAGTAACACATTTGTTGTTTTGCATCAGAAACTCAAGGATGTCGCATTTCCTCAAGCGGAAGTATTGAAGAAAGCTCTTTTGAAAAGATATGAGCAAGAACATGCACAATATCTGGCTAAAAAGGTAAACAACTTATCTGCTCCAATAAGTTTTAAATATAACATATGGACCAATTTACAAGATCAAATCAGTTCTCACTTACAATGTGATGTGAATACTAATAACAATATGTTGAAACATGAAGCTTTGCACAACGGCATGAGTGTACTCTGATTATACTCTGTGATGTGTTTATCTTGAATGAGTTGAAACAGTAACCAGCAATAAAACAACATGATTGTATCAGGTTTAATAAAAAAGAACTATGTTCATTAGTTCATAAACATACCAATGGAAACAAACTCTTACAATGACCTTGAATAAATACGTTGTAAGTAACAATGAATAAAACATGTTATTGGGTTAGTTACAATTTAATTTCTAAAACATGCATGTCTCTTGGATGTACTTCATTACCAGAAAGTGGAGGATGAGCTGTTGGCACAGGAGCTGTCCAAGCAGAAAGCGTTGGATGCTGAGCGGGAGCGTGTGGCCGAGATGCAGCGGCGGCAGAGGGAGCAGGAGCAATTCAGTGCCTTTGAGGAGATGATCCGACGCCAGGACCTAGAAAAGGAACGCCAGAGTGTTCTTTTAGAGTTTTCAACTCCTGCTCACCCCTCCAGTGAAATGCCCCTCATTCCAGGCATCCGGGGCCCACCTGTGGTCTCTCCAACTCTTCCACAAATCCCAAGGGACAATTCAGGTGGCACACAGAATCAGTTCAACCACACTCCTTCAAACAACAGCGCCACCGGTCCACCTAGCGTTGACCGTTCACTCAAGCCCGGAACTCTGGTCAGCCCAGGCAGTAATAGTGAGTAAATCTTTTTGTAGCATGGGGAGAGGGACGGGGGGTGGTGCCCTCAGAGGATTTAAATACTGCCCTACTCCTTCTTGAAAGTATTTATTCTCCTGAGCTGGTTTCTTCTTTCCTGACCTACTTGAAATTACTGGTTTTACACCATGCCTTGCTTCAGAACATTAGTTTCTATTCAGCATTGTATTATTTCTTCCCATTGTTGGTGCAGATACAATGGTAGATGCTCTTCGACAGTTGGCGGTTCCTGCT